TTTTAACCTCATATTTGCATTTTCCCATATACAGGGTTTAAGAACTGGCTCCTGACAGGGCCTGGCTCTGTCCCCTTGGGATGGGGGAGCTGTCACAGAGCAGGGAGGGTCAGGGGTGGCAGTGGCTGCTCAGGGATGGCTTTGGCCTGAGTCCCTGGAAGGAGCCACTGCCCAAGCAGCTGCGCTGTCCCTGGGCTCTGCTCCCGGCCTTCTGGGCTCTGTTGGGTGGCACAGCCTGTGCCAAGGGGAAGCAAGGTGCCTGCAGACCCCAGCTCTGGGGGAAACAGAGAACGTTCAGGCCATACCCAGCATGCTGCCAGTTCAGCAGCGGAGCACAGCACGGGCTCACACCGCCCTTTGCTTCCTTAGATGCGGCCAGCACCACAACACATATTCCCAACTCCCAGAAGGGCTTTTAAAGGGCTTTCTATCAGGGAACACTCTGTTGGTTAGGGATAATAGCAGGTGTGCTTTGTTTGGAGCTTATTGTTGATATATTTTATATATTAGTAAAGGCCTGTATGCACAAACCAGCCTTTGAAATAAGTCGAGATATTAAGGGCTAAAATCCTTGAAACTTGACTGCAGAAGAGAGAGTAAAGCAAAACAATATCCTTGTGTGTAGGGGAAAATATGTAAACTTGTGTGTTTTAGTCAATAGTAGCTTGCTCTGCCCGCAGACCTGTAGAACCCTATAAAAGGTGTGCTAAAGATAGTAATAAACAGCGTTCACAATTACTTCTGTGAAGACTGGTGAATAGCTCGGGGGTCCTTCAACAGCTTATCATCATGTTGTGTTGCTTTGGAATCTGCTATGCCTGGAAGAGAAAACGCTGAGTGTTTTGTTCATCTTGCCCTCAAACAGCTTCTTTAGAAAGTCTATGTAGACAGGAAATATTCTCAGTGAGGCTGCTGTGGACTTGTGGGTAGTCAGTGGCTGCCCAAATAACTCTACTGAGAGTTCTGCTGCTGCTGCCCAGGCCTTTCTTTGGCCTCTTCACTGCGGGGCCTTGTCCTGGGGAGCCCGCTCGGGCTGCAGCCAGTGCTGGCTGCCACTGAGGCTGCCTGGCCCAGAGCAGCCCCAGGAGCAGTGGGCAGAGGCAAAGCAAGGTAGGGAGGAAGAAAAGAAGGGAAGAGATTGCCCTTGAAAGGCATACACACTCTGGGGCCTGCTCCTGGCCTGGGACCCTGTCCAGAGCCATCCCCTGCTCTCTGGGGCCTTGAGGGGCAGCTCTCCAGCTGGGCCAAGCTGTGCCAGCAGCTGCAGCCGTGCTGGGGAGCCTTGGCCGCTCTGGGCCCTGCTGTGCAGGAGGGTCTCTGTGTGCCAGCGGCAGCTGGGGGCCTAGTCACCTCTTCTCTCTACAGGAGCACTTCTGGACAGTATTTGAAGGACTGTGGCTGCACTAAACACCCTGACAGCTTGAGCAGCTCCTCTTCAGTAATGAGGGTCTGGGCAGCTCTCTCAAGAGCTCTAAGAGGACCCCAGAGCAGCCATCCCAGAACAGGAGGAATCCTCCTATAACCCTGTAGATCCCACGGTCAACTCTTCTCCCCATGGGTATCCCCAAGGTCCCTTCACTCCCTTTTTTGGTCTTCTTCTGCCCCAGCCTAGCCCATTCCTTAGTTCTTGTAGAGACTTCAAGACCAGCCCAGCACCCTCCAGCCCCACCTGAGACCAACATGGTCCTTCCACTGTCCCTGAGCCCCCTGGCCCTGCCCTTTAAACAACACTGAAGGTGAGCCCATCTGCCAGTGTAGGTGATGGCCCCTTCATCTGTTCCAATAAAGAGATGGAGCTCTCACCCCAGTGTCTGGCTGGTAGCACCAGCAAAGCCAAACAAACACCAGCAGTGGGGCTCCGAGGGGCTGGGGGAGTCCAAGCTGAGCGTCCCTGGGCTGAGGGCACATTTCCTTCAGTGGCATCACCTGGTCCTCTTCCACTGGAGTGCCCAGGAAAAAAGGGAACCATCAAGAGCAACGCCAGGAACACAGCCTGACTGTGGACATGATTTTCTGAACCTGAGAGACATTCAAGCTCTCAGGAGCTCATTGTTTCCAAGGGAAAGTCTTTGGAGAACATTCCTCTCTCAAGGACTGTTTGTGAAAGTAAGGTTTGGTTTCCCAAAACAAGACACAGATGTTCTGAGAGTGTTTTTCTCTTGTCCCACCAATGGGATGAGGGAGGTCTTGTTCTTTCTACCAATCAAGATAACCTGTATCAGAACACCTTATGAAAGGGTTGAAAAACCCCAAAATAAAGGCTTTATGCTTCCTGAAAAACCTCTGGTTGCTCTGAGTGATCAGAACCCTCACTCTATAGTTCGTGTCCTCTAGCGACACCTGACCAGCAATGTCAGCAGGCAAAACCACGGTTTTGTTTAGCAATGGCCCTTTGATGAAGTAAAGATATACAGTCAAGGCAGTCCGCTAGTACAGATGGGAGTACACTCCGGGGCTACAGCCAAGGCCATGAGGTCACAGCAGGCTCTGGGGTTACAAAGGTTGAGGTCCCCAAGGTCGCAGAACCCCGTGGTTGCACAACACCACAAGGACTGAGCAGTCAGTCCTTGACTACAACTGTTGAAGCAGCATCGGAGGCTACGGCAGCGGTGCTGACACTGGGACAGCATTGTGAAGACAGTGGTGGGCCCTGGCAAGTGCCCCTGTGCTGCTCCTCTGCTGCCCAGGGCACCCACGGGCGTTGCTCGCGCCTGAGAGCGACCAGAACCAGCGGGGAGTGTGACAGCTCTGTTGCTCTGGGCTCGGCTGTCAGGCCAAGGCCCCTGGGCAGGGGGCAGTGTCCTTTTGGGCTTGGCAGAGCCCGTAGGCTCCTGGAGGGCTGGGGGCACTGCTCCGGCCAGGCCTGGCCCAGGCCTGGGAGGCCTTTGACATTGCTGATTGCCCTCACAGCCTCCAGGGCCGAGCCGGAGCTCAATGGCCCCAGCCTGACCGGACAGTCTGGACTGGAGCCTTCCCGTGGCTCCCCGGAACCCGAGAGCATCAGCGCCAGCTCAGAAACACTGCCTAACCGGGTTTGCCAATATTTTTTCCTGTTAGGTTCTTGAAAGGATTTAAAATGTAATGTTGTTTGACAACTTCTTCAAGGAACAAATACGACATGATTCTTTTCAAGAAAGGTTTTATTAGTTTGGTTTCAGTTTCCATTTGGAATTCTTATGCTTCCTAAGACGATCCAGAAATTAATGAAAACCTAACATATTCCTAGGAGAAGTTTTTGAATCCACTACTCGCAGAAGTCTCTAAATTCACTGTTTCTCTTAAACACTTCCCTTACACCTAGTTAGCTAGCTGCTCCTGTAACAGAGAGAGATGCAGTGATTTACGTGGCTGGACATCACAACATGATGTTACACACACCAGTATACTAACAGCCTTTTGTTCCCTGACAGTTACAAAGCTTCAGGCTCTTCTGGAGGTCCTGAATTAATTTTGCGTGCACATCCATAGCCGTGTTCCCTCCCCATGCTCAGCATTCAGCCACAGTTACCAGGGAACAGATGTTCCATACTCACCTCAAGCAATAATCTACGTCTTTCTTCCCAACCCTCTTATTCTTCACTGAACTCTACAGATCTACAAAAAATTACTTTGGGCCCTCTGCACAAAAGAAAACACAACAGAACACCAATCAATAGGGTTCAACACTTGTGATTCTGCTGCTGCTCCCAACAAACATGAATGAACAACACAACAGTCAAGTCAGAAGCTCTATTCTTCACGTCCCTCCTATTCTCTTGCCCCCCACCACATGTCGGCTCCAACAGAAACGTTCCCTACTGCAGCCTGGTGTACTAAGAAAAATGAAAGGCAGCAGCTGTCTCCCTGAACATGCTGAAATCTAAATTGCAGTGAAACAGCAGCTCTTGCATTAAATGCTCAGCAGCAGGATCCCACAGCTGCCCCCCAGAAGCGCTGCCTGCCAAGGGCTGAGATCTCCATTCTAACACACCCTGCAAATCTGATGGGCTGGAAGATTGCAGGGCAGTAACTGTATGAACACAGCCATACATTTCACCAGCGTTATCTAACAAGTCTCAAGAAAGGAACGTCATTTAAGCCTGACTTGAGACTATAGTCTACAAAATAGAACAAGCAATTGTTTTGGCAACCTGTGTAATTTTTGGGGCTGTGTATGTTTTCTTTTGTTGTTGTTGTCTTTGTTTTGAAATAGAAAATTCACTGGCTTCAGAAGAGCAAGCCCCAGATTCACTAGGATGAAGAACCGCTGACAAGAACCCTCAGCATTCCTAACAGTAACACCAGAAAGACAGGAAAAAGTTAAAAATGATAGACCTACCTGAAAAGATCCCAAATGTCTCGGTAACCTGTCTAGTGACTATTTTTTCCCTAAGCTCTACAAGTTCCTATAGCTATGAGGTAATTATCTGAAAGAAAGGAAAGGCAGAAAGCTGCTCAGCCTTTATTTTTTACCAGGACTGTCTCGTGGGATTCTACCACAACTTTGACCACAAGAAAGGATGGCAAATTTTGACTACAGAGCATTCATAACCAGGAGGCATCTTTTCCTCCTTACTCAAGTCCAGTAAGGGTTTAAAAGGGAAAAATATAGAAAAGGGGACTGAACAAGTTGTGTCATACCTCTTAGGCGTTCGTCATCTATGGAGAAGAAGAGAACTCTAGCACTTTCTGTGCGTGGTAGAGAAAGAACCCTAGACAAGTACAAAGGGGTTTTATCAATCTCAAAGGTCCTATCAAATGCCCTGAGCACAAGTTAGAGCTGTAGTGCCTCAGAGAAATGGTGTACATGGAAGAGCTCTACTCCATAGTATGCAAATAAAGCCTTCTATTAAAGAACCCCACTTTTTACAATAAAATTGACTGTGTCTTTGCCTTTTGGCTCTCACTGCTCAGAGGTGTGCAGTGTCAGTTTCCCATTTTCTCAGTGCTGCCATTAATATTCCCACAGCATCCAACTACTACAGCCAAGTAGACAACAAATACAAATGGAACTTGCCTTCCTTGGTGCTTTTCAATTTCTGACATCTCCGGCTCACCAGCAGCCCCAGACGGGATGTCTTGGAAATGTGAATCCTGTCGCCACCTGACGTTTTCCGGTTTTGTCGTTCCAAGTACGTAAGGCTCTGCAAAACCAGCACCAAAACAGAAAGCAAGTCAAAACCAAATTATTTCTCTGCTTGCCCGGAAAAATTCCTCTTTTCAAGTGAAATATTTACACTGGAGAAGACAGATTTAGGAAGGACAAAATCTTCTTCTCCCTGATTTTCTGAGCTGTAGCTCTCCTCCAGGATTTTCCACTTTGTTCTAGGCATCTCCTATGCATTCTTAAACATTTAGCATCACATCCAGAAGACAGTGAATAGCTTCTGAATTCAGCACAAGTGTGGTGGGCTTGTTGCTTTGTGGTGTTGTTTTTTAATATTTTGGGTAACTTGGCACGGTTTCCTTTCATTCCTACCTGACTGAGACTTGATTAAATATTCCTTCATCTGCATTTCATAAGGCCTTATTTTATCCGAGCTTAGGACACCCCAGTGATCCTTCAGTTTCTTTTTTCTGAAGGTCCAGGAATAGAATTCAGTAACTAACAGAATGTTCATGGAGCTTGGGGTCAACTCCAGGATTTTGTTCCTCCCTCTACCTTAACACCCATTTTCCTTAAAATCCTGTTGGCTTCCATGTAACTTGGTATGACTGCTGTGCCACCTTTTTCCCTGCTTGAGAAGTTTAGGGGAAGCTTTTTCACCGCTCTGCAAAAATCCCAATGCCTTCTCAAGGCGTGCCTTTCAAAATTCCTGAGATGCAAGCAGGAGTTACCTCTCATTAATCTCCCACAGCCTTGGCAAGCAGCAATGAGGATCAGAATGCTTCAGCAGAAGTACTGACTTCTGCTGCTGAAAATCCTCTGGATTATGACCTTCTTTACACCGTATTGCTCTACAGTGCCTGCCAGAAGCCGTTCCTTAGAAATGGCTCCGTTAGGAGGGTTCTGCTCTTACCTTCTTTGATGCCCAACTCCTCTGTGTCTCCAAAGAAGGAAAACTGGAAAGCACTGGACTCCTGAGTTCTGTCGTTTTCAGGCAAAGGTCCCAGACGTTCGTCTGGGGCAGAGTCCTGTGCATCCTCTTTGTCCCAGCCTGTTTCCACTGTCTTTTCCGGTTTCATCTTTGAAGGTCCAAGCAAGTGTTTTAAATCAGCAGCAGTGTCGCAATCGATTTCTTCAGACACTGAAAGCAGTGTCTCACTCTCTTCTTTCTCCCTCTGCTTTACTGAAGAAAGGCTTTACTGAAATGAGATTGTTTAAGGATAGCGACTCAACACATGTCCTTTTCGAAGACAGCTTCCCTAAGAGCCACCTTGCTCGTCATGTCTCCCTAAAGGTATCCAAGCCATTAAGGATTCACGTTCAAGGGTAAGCAGTGGGGAAATATCTGTCTAAAGACAGGAATGAGTGTCCTTTTTAATCAGCTATGTGCTTAAGTGACTTTTCCCTACACAATACATGGTAACATAGAAATCAAGAATCGTGGAAATGCCAAGAGCTAATTCGGTTTTCCCACAGACCTGCAAGTCTCGAGGTCCCTGTACTGACCCTTCTCACCTTCACTTACGGCAGCAAACAGAGGGACTAGAAAGAAAAGGTGACACTACGTGCTGCTGTTGGAGGTCCCAGTTGAGGCCCGACGTGGCTGGCGGGAGCGGTTGCTCCAGCGCGACGTCCCCGACGGTGTCCCCCTGCGCCTGGGCCTCTCAGCACTTGCTGCTCTCCTCCTGCTCCTGTCCTGGCGACTCCTGGAGCGGACAGGTTGATCCGAGGCTCGACGTTGCACGCAGGAGCGGCTGCGTCTCGGGGACGTCCCTGAGGACGTCTCCCTTCGCCTGGGCCTCTCTGCCCTCGACGTTCTCCTGCCGCTCCTGTCATGGCAACTCCTCGACCGGGCAGGTGGACTCTGGGCATGAGCTTGCTGCCGGGAGCGGCTGTGTCTGCGGGAAGCCCGCGACGGTGTCTCCCTTTGCCTGCGCCTCTCTGCACTTGATGTTCTCCTACTGCTCCTGTCATGGCGACTCCGCGACCGGACGGCCCCATCTGAGGCCCGCCTCTGCTGTTGAGAGCGCCTTCGCCTGCGGTCAGGCCCAGCATGTCTGGAATGGACCCTGTCCTCAGGGCCCGTCCAGCTGCTGGATCTTGCCCTTGGTGTGCGTGCGCTGCCGGTGTCTGCCAAGGAAGAAACTGCATGCCGGGGGCTTCTGTGGCTGCTGGTCCCTGGAGTTGGAGACTGGGGAGCCAGACCCGATGGCACTGCGCTGCTGGAGCTCGGCCTGATGGCCTCGGATTCTGAAAGGCCGTGAGCAGGCTCCAGTCCTGACTGTCTGATCCGGCTGGGGCCATTGAGCTCTGGCTGCTCATCCCTGGGGGCTGTAAAGCCAAACAGGAATGTCAGAGGCCTCCCAGGCCATGCCCAACCAGAACACTGCCCCCAGCCCTCCAGGAGCCCATGGGCTTTGCCGTGCCCAGCCTGGGCACTGGCCCCAGCCCAGGGACACCCGCCTGCTTTGCCTCATACCTGTGCCGAGACCAGCACAGCTGTCACACTCCCAGCGGGTTCTCCTCACTGTCAGGCCAGAGCAGCGCCTGTGGGTGCCCTCGGCAGCACAGGAGGAGCACAGGAGCAGCTCGCCTGTGGGTGCCCTCGGCAGCACAGGAGGAGCACAGGAGCAGCTTCCAGGGCCTGGGGAAGCAAACGGGTTGATGGCTCTGAGAACAAAGTGTCCCAGCACGGGATTGTGCAGCCGAGCACCACTGGCTCCTTCCGCTTTGAGCCCTTCCTGAGACACAGGTTCCCTGCAGAGCCCCGGGTGCAGCTTCCCAACTCACCCCTCTTCCTCTGCCTCCTCCCTGCCTCCTGGGTAAAGGCATTCCCTGGCATTGCACCTGCTGTGACGCACTCTCAGATCCGCGAAGGCGTCGTTGTCCTCCCATGTTGGCAGTCTGATGGGGAAAGGAAAAGCTCATGTGTTTCTGCTGCCCTGACCGCATGGACGTAACAGGGTGTCCCTGCTCTTCCTCCAATGCTTTTCCAAGTCCCGTGAGAAGCGCAAGTCCAGACTCCCTGGATGGGGCAGGGCCTGGACTGCTGGGGCAGGGCCTGGCACAGCACGGCACTTGCACCCTCCTGTCTTGTGAGCCCCGCAGAAGGACACCAACCTGAAGGGGATGCGGATTCCCATGATGAACATTTCGACAGCGAACATGCCATCGTCTCTGCAGAGGGGGCAGCAGAAGGAGAAAAAACCAGCACGCATGGCCTGTCCCTGCAGGGCAAACAGAAGCAGTGTGAGCCAGGCCCTGGTGCTGCTGAGCACCTGCTGTGTCCCAGGCCTGAGGGCATGGCTCCCACCTGGAGGCAGTCCCTGTGGAACCAGGCTCTTTGGCACGTTGGGCACACGATGGTGGTAAAGGTCATTCTGTCTTCCACTGGCTCCATGCAGATGGGGCATTCGGTGCCCGGCTCTGGAGTCACCTGCACCATCTGCTCTGGACGGTGCTCAGGGCAGTAGGACCTGGGGGCAAAAGGACGGGCATAATGAGAAAGTCTTGGTCCTTCCCCAAGGGTGGCCAGAAGGGGAGAGGAGCTACCTGTATGGGGCAATGTACTGCGTAACACAGCCGCCCTCCTTGGCACAGGGCAGGTGGAACCATCTGTCGCAGCCTTCCTCGCAGCACATGATGGTGGCCCCGCTCTGGCCGCAGACGCAGCAGTGCTGGAATGAGCCAGGCAGCCCCATCAGCGGCAGCCTCGGGGCCTCCCCAGGCAGCCCCAGGGCTGCGGGCAGGGAGCAGGATGGGGCTGCTGCTGGCTCTCAGCCCACAGAGCCAGCTGGTGGAGGAAGCACCTGTGCCAGGGCCTCTTTGGAGCTGCTGGGAGCCAGACTTTGTCCCACAGCTGGCTGCATGGCCGGCCTTTCTTGCTGGGGCTCTGGGCTAAGCTCTGGCAAACGTCTCCTGGCACAAATGTCCCTGCTCTTTTGCCAGGCTCTCACCTTCTGTGCCGCCCGCCTGACTGCACATTGGATATCTTGAGGAAGAAAACCCAGGAATCCAACCTGTTTCTTTTCTTGCCGGAAAAGAAGAGTGGCAAAATACTGCAGAAAAGGGGAAGAGGTGATGAAGACAGGGTGGCAGGGACTGCCCATTGCAATGCGGGAGGGAGTGCCCGGAGCCACTCACCAGGCAGAACATGTGGGCACAGAGCCCGTATTTCTCCCGTCTGTTTCCGCAGGTGTCCGGGTCAGCGTCCACACGATGACACAAAACGCATGCTGCAGGGGACAGAGCCAATGGCAGCGGGCGTCAGCAGCTCTGTGGGGCTCTCAGCCCGCAGCATCGACCCCAAGAGCTGCTCTGTCCCTGCNAGGTGGTTGCTGCACGGGCACAGCTCAGGCGGTGCTGAGCACCCCGAGACGAGGGGCCATGGCCTGCACTGCCTCCATCTGTGCTGGGAACACAGACAGCCCAGCCGGCAGAGCGGCGGCACCGGGCCCCAGCCAGCACAGAGGGGAACAGAACCGATGCCAGAGCAGCCGTGGGGCCTGCCCGGCTCTCCGGGCCTGTGGGCAGCCCGGGCGGGAGCGGCTCGCTCTGTGCCGCGCTCTCCCCACAGAACGGGGCTCCGAGTGAGCACCTTGGGAATGCTGAGGGGATTTGGGGCTGCAACTGAACTTGCCAGCGAGAGAAACAATTCATATGAGACTTCTTTAGGCCTTTCTAAAGATGAACTGAGAAACAACTTCAAATCCCAGGCTAAATAGTGTGTTCTAATATGTGCTGATTTTTTGAAAACGATTTGTTTGCAACTCCCTGTCAGGCCCGTGGTGCTGTCCCAGCCAGCACCAACACCCAGGAGCTCTGCTGTGTGCAGCACGGCTGGGACAAGGGAAACGAGTTCACATCCCTACAGATGCCCTCTCTGCCTTCAGAGTTAACACACAATAGCAATATTCCAGCAAGAGCAGGTATTTTTACACCCTCAGGACGGTGTGCTCTTGTGGTCCTCATGGTGGATCAGAGAGGAAAGCCAAATTTGATGGACTAAACTTGACTGTAGGAGAGGGATAGCCCAGCAGAGGGCCTGGGGACACAGTGACTGGCACACAGCAGGAAGACCCCAGACTATCACAATTCAGCTGGGAGGGTATAAAAGCCCAGGGGTTCTTGGTTCAGGGTCCCCCAGAGGCACCAGCTCAAGCTGCCACTCTTGCACCATGATAACATTGTTTGAAGGATCCAGTGGTCTGACAGTCTGCTATGGAGTACATTCTACATTTCCAATCTTTTGGGCATTTGGGTGTTTCAGTCACCAACCTCAGGATCTCGTCCAGGGAAGCAGCAGGATTCTGGGGACCAGCATGAAACACCAACAAGACGGGCTCCCGTTCATGAAACCATTTATTCAGCATGGGAACAAACCCAGGTCCGGAACAGAGAGCTCCGAACAGAGGCACAGCAGGGGTTTTTGAGGGACAGAACCCCCGAGGGTCTCCACCCTTGAGGGTGGAGTTCAGGGTCAGGGAGCAGTAGAAGCACAGCAAGGGAGAACCCCCCAGGGACTAAAACCAAATCAGAGCACCTGGGCTGCCCTTCACAGGGGTTTGGGGTGGGACAATGTAACCCTTTGTCGTCCCTTAGGCACACTGCCACATTTGGGAGCTTTTGATTTTGCTTTGCACCCAAGATAAATAAACCCCCAAAAGTGCACAAATAACTCCTTTACCATTTCCTCCTTTTATTTTCAGCTGATTTTTATATTGTTCTATTTGCTCTGCTACCTTGTCCTCATCTTTCTAAAATTCATGGGCCTAGTCAGGTCCAGCCTGGGATGGTGCACACATTTTGTTTAGTTCTCTAGTAACTTATCCCCAGCAATCGTGCTGACCACATCCATTTAAAATATTGCAAAAACCTAACCCTGGGCTGCAGTATGTGAATCACACTCCAGTGTGTGAGATGGCAGAGCATCAGGGCAGGCACTGAAGAAGAGGGCATTCCGTAGAATAGATTTGTTTGACCTGACTGCTAATGCTAACACAGAACTGCCTGTCATGCTGCCTTGCCTCTTTGCTAAGCTGGATTTGTGTTTGTAATTCACATGTGATACTTTCCTTTCAAATGTGCCTATTTTAGGGTGATTCTGCCAAAGTGGCTGTTTGAATTTGAATTTGATATAAAATCATCCAACAGTTGAGGCATGTATAAATTGCCTATATTTCAAACTGGTCTATTTTTAACTCTAAATGTTAGTCATTTACTGAAATGAATAAATTTCAGAAAAGGGTAGATTTTTGTTAAAACTACTTAAATCTATCCAACTAGATGAATTGCTCATTCTGCAAACTGGCATTCCAGTCCAGATCCTAAGTCTGTGACCCAAAACTCTGTTTGGATGATGACCCAGCTCTTTCTGTTTTATTAGATTAAAATGCCTCTGCAAAGTGTATTACAGCTAATAATGTTTTGATTAATGTGTTTTTTTTTAGCATTATTATATCACACTTCCTTCCGTAAGTATTTGCTGGATGTAAGTATGGACAGAATCATATCCTCATAAAGATTTCATGATGAAGTGTTTTTTCACTTAGGAGCAATAAAAGTTTAGCTAATAAAATAAGATGTTATCCTTATTCAAAGCACTTAAAATGCCTCAATCAATTTTCTGTTAAAAACAATTTGAAGCTTTCTCAGCCAAAAAATTCTAAATTAGAGCTTGATGACTACTGCTTAACAGAGTGCATTTCTCTACTGCAACACCTCCTAGAAATACTTTGGTTGCAATTATTTAAGAGATCTGAAGGAAAATATTGTCTGCTGTCAATAACAGATCTCAAGATCTGTCAATCTATCCATTATTACTGTTGGTCTTCAAAATTTCTGAAAGGAAAAGCAGTTTCACAGGTTCAATCAATATTTATTTTCTGCAAAGTGAAATCAAATATCATTAATGTAAACATATGTAATACATAATTATTAACTCAATTCATTAAACCTTTGGGGATCATGGCACTGAACTTATGGCAATCATGTAACTTGAAAATAGTTTCTTGCCAATAACAGAGGTTTCTAAATCAATAAACACATTTGAGAACAGGAGAACCCTTCACAATATAAAAGAATAGTGCTTGAAACCAAATGCTACAGAGAATGGTCACATGGAACTGTTTTTAAAACTATGTAGACTGAACAACTGCCACTAAAACTGCGTCTAAAAAAATAAAATGCTTTGTTAATAACTTCTGTTACCTAAAGTTATGTAGATCATGCCAGGTAGCACAAAATACAGTAGCTGGAAAATGCAAAATGATTTGGTAAGCCAATCTAATGCTTCAGCAGAGCGGTGAAGAAATCAAGAAGTATTCTCTGTTCCTTCTTTAATACTTTTCCTTTTTTCTTCCAGTGCTTGTTTCAATACAGTTTTCAAGGTATTGTAAACATATGGCCCATTCTCAGAATCGAAGCTTGTCTAATAAAAGAGAGAAGTTTCAGTGAAGTTGTTAGAGATGCCATCCAGCAAAACACAAAGTATATGCACAACTTTGAGATTTATCAAAAATCTTTGAGATTTATCAAAGAAAATATGTGTTTTTGATGGAGTGCTTAATGGTAAGTGTTTTCAGTTTAATGCTGACTAGGCATTAAAATAAAGCAGAAGAAGGAGAAATGTGGTGATTGTTTTAACAGGCAGATTTACAAGAGATGGGGAAGCAGCACGGTGAACATTCCGTTCAAGCTGAGATTTCATTGGCTGAATCTGAGAAGGCTTCACATATTACAGAATCTACCAAAGCCTTTGGTAACTACTCCCAGTGATTAGTCAGTGTCACTCTTTAAAATTATTTTTCCCATAATTTGAAGACGTCCATGAACTGGCAGTAGTCCAGAAAGGGAAAAATGAGACTCCAGGATTAAGATTGTAGTGACAGAATTTAATTTTGTTGAGAATATTTCTAACCCTTTATGCATGTGATTATTACAAAATGTAAACTCTGAAATAAATAAGCTTCACACTGAAGTATGAAGGAATTGCTGTAGCCTTTCTCACAGTGGCCTCCCTCTGTTGACTGATTCACCCTTCATGATTTAAACCAAGTAAATACAATATTGTGGACAATTATTCGGGATTACTTGCCTTGGTGAAAGCTTTAATAGCACGAGCAAGTAAGGCCTCCTCCACATCAGCTGGCAGCACTTGCAGGTTCACCACGCAGTGTAAAATACAAAGGATGGTCTGACACTGCTCCTGGTGGGGAAAAGGAACAGCAGCTCATTAGAAGAAATACTTCCATTAAAAACAGTTTAGCACCCAGATTTTGTTAACAGCTGTTTAAACACCAGGTTGTGCCTTCCTGTGCTGAAACCTTCATGTGCAGGATTTGGTGGGGAATTCCCACCAGCCCAAAGAGCCTCTGCATAATTATTTCTGTCACAATGGGAAAACTCTTCTCCTGAGTACCATAATTCCTCAGAATTTCTGGGAATTTTCAGATTTCCTCCATGAGCCATAGCCCTCCTGTGAATTGGAAGATTGTGTAGGAAAGATGAGATTTGATCTTTTCAGCCCAAAATGTTATGCATGTTCAGGGCTCTTTTCCCCATCTTGCACCCCTCTGTGTTCTTCCAAGTCTCTGTAACCACTGGAAGCTGTCAGAGAGAGCTTGCAAGGAGGAAGAAAGAGAGGAACAGATCTTTGTGGCTGCTCCTTCCCATCCCTTTTCCAGCTTAATTAAGGGGCCAGAGCATCTGTCACACAAGCAGCCTGCTCTAGGTAACTCTGTTTTGAGCAAGACACTTGGACTGGAAGATACCCAGAGATATCCAGACAACTCATGCAATTTGATACAGAATGAATTCTCATTCTGATTTTGAAAGAGACTGAAGTGGCTTTTTTTAAAGTGCAATTCCTTTGCCTAAAGTTAAAGAATGAATTTTCAGATCCAATATATACCTTTCCCAACAAGTAGAGTGCATCCTGGGATTCTGTGCAATTTTTTGCCAGCATGTCAATATCATCTTTGGATATAATAGGTTCTTTCAGCTGTTCTATCCATGACCACATCAAGCTGCAGAGGATAAAAGGGTCTCTCTCAGTGCAGATTTTATCCCAAGCTCCATCTCGAGAATTCAGTTCTTTCTTAAAAACAAAACAAAACAAAACTCTGAAAATACATTATCTATTTACCTTTGCCAACATTCTCTTTGATTGTAGCAGTGTTTGGCTGCTTATGTTCCAACAAAAAAAGACTTAAGAGTTACCCAAAAAGTTTGTATTTTTTTTCAGAGTACCAACATTAATCAGCAATAATATAAATGATCCTTTAAAACAGAAGAATGACAGCAGCAGTGCAGCTGAGAACCTTACAATACTCCACTGGAATACATAAATCAGTTCTGCATTCCAGCTTCAAAGCAAATGCTGCTAAGAGAATTTCAGTTTGACGATAAGCAATTAAGTTTCAACTAAATTCTTTTTCTTTTACTCACAAATCCTCTGATTAGTTCTGAGAAAGCACTGATGAAAACCAACTCAAACCCTTAAAACCTGTACTACTTCTGTGCCACCAGTAGCCACATTACAACCAGAGATAATGGCATTCATTTCCTCCAGTTAGGAAACTGAACATAACCAGAACCTCCACCCTCCTGCTACAGACCAGAATGTTTAAGTGCATTTTGCCAGCCTGTGAAAGAACTGACCTGGGACCTCATAAAAACTGCTGTCCCAATAAGCCATTTCAAAGCTCCACACATCATTTTTGCCATTCCAGAAATTCACTGAGGTGAAATATGCAGAGCCCATAGCATGAAATTGAGTTAAAAATTACCTGCCACATTTCTACTTTCTGCTTCACTTCATCCTCTCCCAGAAATTCATTTATGTCTGCAAGTGCTTTGGCTGCCAAAACTCTTCGAGCTTCCAAACTTAATTCTGACTGCAGAACAATGTGTGGAATTGTCTCTGACACCTCTCTGCTACCCTGGCTTTCGTATCCAATGGTAAAGTTCACTTTAGAAGAGGAAGAAGAAGAGTCGGAGTCCTCGGAGGTATGGACTCTCCTGCCATATATGTTGGTCTTGTGATCCTTCCTATGATCAGTCTTGTTGGCAAAGCTGTGCCTCAGCATCACAGGTTCTTTAGGATTGTGGATGGACGCGAGGCCTGAAGAAAAGGTCCTGCTGCGTTGTACTTCTCTGGCAGAGTTCCTTCTGTGATAGGAGACATCCCTTTGTCCATCCAAACTAAATCTCCCTTGACTCCAGAACATGCACGTGTTATGCACTAATGCTTCTTTGTTTAACTCCAGCCGTGGCTTTACCTCACCTGTGGCAGAACATTCCTCCCCACTGTTCTGCTTGGGTTTGTTGTTCACTAACATCTGAGCAGGCACTATCCAGGCAGTGTCATCGTGTTCTGCAAGAAACTCAGTTCTCCTTAGGTCTGACTCACTGTAGCTCAGACGCCTTCTCAGAAGAGTAAAAGGCTGAAGGCATTCAACATTCCTTCTTTCACAAAAAGAATCACATTCGTGTCCCAGGGAGCAGTGCGAGTCCTGGGTGTCGAGAGCAGAGGAGTGGACGTGGGACGAGTCCGACGCGTCGCTGTCGTGCCTGACCAGCTCCCGCTCGAGTTCCGTGGGTTCCAGCTGGGACACGGTCTTCTCGATCTCAGCTGAGAGGTCTGGGATGTCCAGCAGCTCCGCCTCTACCACTTGTCGGTTCTCAGCCAGGTCCAGCAGCAGCTTGCACACCAGGTGGACGAGTTTTGGCACATGCTTGAGGTGCCTGCTCTCGTAGCCATGCAGCAGGTGCCTCTGGCGGGTCAGGTACTGGGACAGGGTGACCGCGTGTGCCTTGGGCTCGCAGCACGCGAAGACATTGCGGAGAGGGACCAGGAACTGGGAGAACTCCCTGACACACAACAGCTGCCCCCGTGTCTGGATGGAATTGGGCCTTTTGGCTCTGACAAACACAATCGCTTGGTCAGCACTCATTCTGGTGGCAAAAACTAAGTAGCAAGCTATTAGAACACCTGGAAAATATAAGCAGGGATTAGTGAAGGAACTGTCAGACTAAAACAAATAGTGGAAATATGGGATAGAAATTAATACAGGTATATACACAGTGTTCTCTATTACATGATGCTGTTACTTTAATGTAATTGCTGTGAAGAAGCACAGGACAGTGAAGCCCTGCTCACTGCACTGCAGCCTCCCCACAGCCACCCCAGGAGTTCCACCATGCACAGACATGGGAGCAATGGGGGCTTCTATGGGAAGAGCACAGCCAAAAAAGACTTGAAAGAAGGAAATTAAATTTTAGGTGCTCCACCAAATCTACCTGATCCAACAGTGAGTGGCAGATTTGTGAATGTGTTATAAATACTGGACAATGAAAATGTACTAGGGGTGTTTTTCCCCTCCAAAAGCAACTGTCACATTTGAATGTAATGGAACAATTATACAGATTAAAAACTTCTCTAACCTTACAGGTCTTTGGTTTTAATATACTACAACTAAATTTCTCTAGACATTGAGGACTTTTGGACAAAGCAAACTTTTAACCATTTTGTAGAGGTCCACCTTGCAATTATAGAGAATTATTAATTATATTAATAACCCAGTTATTGCTGGTTTATAACCAGAGATGGCTGAAGTTTCTAGAAGCACATACCTGTCCTCCCGAGTCCTGCGTGGCAGTGAACAGCCACCCTCCCCTCCTGCAGGGCGAAAGACATCACCTTTACCATGTCAAGGATAGTTGTCAGAGATGCCACTCCATAATCCTTCCATCCAAAATTATAAAAATAAACTGAAATAAAAAGAGAGACAGTGATTTTTCTGCCACACCAAATATGAAAGGTGTAGTACTATTTGCAGAGGAGAGATTACTAATAAGAAATTATAGTGCTAAAATTGCATAATGGAGCTTAAAATCTGACTACATCTTGTTTGCAAGAGATTATTTCCCCATTTCAGTGTATGCTTGCTATTGAAACCTGATAGATACACAAAGCTAGCAAAGATTTGTTGAACTCAAGTTCAGCTAGAATATAAAAGGTGTAAAATAACAGTGATTCATGCAAAATTACTGAGCTATATATAGAAAGAGGGCAATTTTTTCTTTTCAGAAATAAAAGCATCTCTTCAGTCAACAGCTGCTTCTTACAGACAGAACTTTCTCTCTTCTCACCATCACATGGAAATACAAAAGTTCTGTCAGGAGCAGTGTCCTCACATGAAATAACTTTTATAGTCTAGGTAAGAAAACATGAGTGTACCAGAATTTAACACACCATTAATGGCTCAGGGTTTGGTGAATGCAGAAGAAAAAGACACAAACCCTCCATCTCTCTCTGCATAGTACACAATCTTCAATGTGTTATTTGCTCTTCATTGTATCTGCCAGGTTTCACGTTTTCTGCAATGTATCCTACACAGCTGTGTTTAGCTCACAGGAATTCCAGTCAAAATATCGTTAAATGCCAAAGTCAATAATTAATGAGGAACAGCAGCAGGAGGGAACTTACTGCCAGCCTCCATAAAGGCTTCAGGAAGGTAGGTGAAGCCACTCTCCTGCTCCAGGGGGTTCCCACAGCTTGCGTGCTCCCCAGGACGCTGAAGGTTAATTATGGTTTTTATGCCACATCTTAAGGAAGGAATAGATGAGTCAAAGTATTACAGACAGCCAAAATCTCATTATCCCTGATTTTCTGAAACACACATTTATTCTTAGTGGAGAATAAATCTTTACCTGTAGAATGTTAAAATGAAAGGATCTTTATCAACAATCCAAATCTACGTTGAAAGAGAAAATGGATCAGGAATGACACCAGTAATACTTACAATAAATAATGACTAAATTTGTTACCTTTCAAACTGCTCAATAATGTTGTACTTCTCAATTAATTCTGTTGAGGGTCGAGCCATAGCCAGGATGTTATCTGTTATCCTGAAGAATTAGAAAAGTCAATAATAATGTTACCATGAAGAATTTCCTGGGTATGAGTCTTCCAAAATAAAAATAAAAATAAAAATAAAAATAAAATAAAATTATATTCAAGAAAGAGAGAAATACCTTGGTGATTAATTAGAAATTACTTTTAAAAATTCTACTATGCCACAGTGTTAGTTATAAATCTTGTTAAACTGATACAGATAGAACATTATCAAAAGACAATTACTGGAACTGCTTAAATGCCAGGACATCAATAAAAATGCCTTTGAATAGAATTCTGGACTCAGATCCCTGTTTGTGCCTTTAAGGTTTCTAAGTGCTGTTGAAGCATTTGCTGGTGGAAAAAAAACAGTAAGAATGTCAAGATACATTTCATGTGACTCTTTCTGCACATGAACATCCTTCTGAACACATGCCCACATTATTTCATCTGCAGGAAATCCTTTTACTTTTCATTTCTATTATTAATATGTTTAATTAATTTGCATCCTCATCCTTAGTAGCCCAGAACAGCTTTTTTTTATAATTCATGACAGACAAGTATTTATTCTTTTGGATCTGAACCAAACTCACTGGAAGTCAACAGGAACCTTTCATCATCTTTCCTGGGCTGTGTACAACAGCCACTACGTCAGGTTCTAATTCTAGCTAAAACTCTCATTACGTTTTACCCTTAGCAGCTGATGTTTCAAAAGCCCAGCTGTTTTGCTGTGTTGAGCTGCTCACCAGGAGGAGTAGAGCCCCTTGATGGCCTGCTCGTTCTGGGTCCAGCGTGCGGGGTTCTCGTACTTGCAGGCGCGGCCACCGCAGGCCATGGAGCACTGCATGTGCCCGGGGATGACGTGGCGCAGCCGCTCCCCCATCTTCGTGTACTTGGCCGTGGGGCGCCTCAAGCTCCCTGCGACACAGGCAGAGCCACGTTAGCCAGGAGCTCACTGAAAAATACCACTTCAACCTCATGATCAACTCACAAACACCATATCTAATCCAGGCTCGTTGTTCACGTAAGCATTCTGAGGGGAAAAAATTGCTGCGTTACTGCCAGTTATTTTTTCTGATGGAGTTAGAGGTGAGCGACATCCTTTGCAGCTGAAAAAGAGTCACAGTCCTCTTCAGCCCGAAATCCAAAATAGTTAACCATGTTCTCATGTGTGCTTCTGTTTTACCTGTTGTTTATAACTGAGCTGTTAGAGTAAAAAGCACGTATTAACAGCTGAATAAGGAATCAGTGAACAAAATACAAAATACAGGAAGAAAATTAAACCTTGCTATTTTATCCACATAAAAAAAAAAATACAGTTAACAGAACACAAGTATAGTAATACCAAGAAAATACTCAGAACTGCCTCAATGAAAAGTACTTTACTTTTTTTTTCAGGAAAAGTTGCATCCAGCTCCTCGGGGCTGAGCGATGACAGAGCCACCATGACCCGGTGCGTGGACGAGGAGAGCAGCTCCACCACGGAGCTGCGGCGCCGCTGGCTGAGGCGGAGAAGGGGATCAGAGGAGGAATGCCTCCGCCCCTGGAAGAAATGGCTAAAGATGCTGACGGCCGAGCGCCTGCGGGGGGAAGGCTGCATGGCTGCCCGGCCCCAGCTCCTCCTGGCGCCGCAGCCCGGGGCGCTCTGAGCGCAGGGGAAGTTGCTCAGCGCTGAAGTTGCGGGAGCGGAGCGGAGCATCCCCGAGCTCGCTCGGCAGCTGGTCCCCGGGCTGAGTGTCGCCATGGAAACGGAGGATGCAGGTGCTGCTGCCAGCCAGCCCCGGGCTGCTCCTTTCCACAGGGATTGCGTCTGCTCGGGACAAACTGTTCCACCGCTCGATGAAAATAGTTGCGTGTCAAGTAGGTAATTTTCAAAAGGCGCTGGGAACAACCAAAGTGTTTGTCAGAAACAATGGGAGTATTTAGTTCCTGCTCAATAACAGGCATTCAGAAGTCACTAAGACACAAAATACTCCATTCAGCGGAACAATCGAAATGTAGCTGGAGGCTCTGCCTCCTGAGAGATCTGTAAGGAAGCACATTATACTCCCCCACCTCTTGGTTCTTCATTCCACAGCCACCTCTCCTCCTCCACTTTGCTGCTCCAAAATGCATCATTAGCTGTGTAATGATTTGGATTAGTGTGTTCCTGCTGAAATGCTTCAGTACGTGATGAATTGTACACTGTTTGCCTGGACCATTCACATCTTCTAACAAAACACAATTTGTTATCCCAAACAAAAGGCTGGGGTTTTTTTCAGGGCACAGCTTTTATATGAAGCAAAGCTGTTAACCCTGCAGCCTGAGAGAAAGCAGATCATTAGGAGGAGAAGGTGTGTCAGCTGAGTGCTTCAGGCTTCTGAAGACCAGTATGAGGTGGCAAATTGCCTCCCACTTTTCTTCCAGTGTGCTGAGCAGGAGAATGAGATGGCTGGAAAGACTGCAGCAGTTGAAAAAGAAACTGTGTGGAGAATGGATTATAGTGATGTAAAAAGCCTCTGACATCCCTATGTATGTGCATCAGACTGCACTGGAAGGGGAAAACAAGAAAATCCACTTTAAATTTGTCAATAAACAAATTAATCTCATTGCATTTTCCTAAAATACATATGTGTTTCTTCTTGTACCACAAAACCAGTAAGTTGTACAGAGGAATTTGCGTAAGAGGAAATTCATTTCTGGGACAAATTCACCAGGCAGAAATCTGCTTCTTCCTGAGGCACTGAGCAGAAGCTGAGGGCCTGAACTTTGACTGCTGCTCCCCAGGTTTTGCAGAGATGTGACAATGTTTGCTGTGGGTACCAAGCCTGAAACATTAGCAGTGATACCATGTAAGGAAAGGAAAATGGTCAAAACCTTGACTCTTCATTCATCAGTGGAGCTGATATCAACAGGTGAGGAAACATGTAAATTTGCTTTTATTTTGGGGGCTGGGTGGAAGAGAAAGGAGATGAAAAACGCTGTTTCAAGTGCTACCTGTACTGAAGAAATGTGAAAAATATTTTATAATTAACTACATTCCTTTCTTGTATTTAATTCTCTTTCTCTTCCCAGAAACTTTTCGGTATATATCAAATTATAGTGGAGACAGAAGTGAGGAAAATAGAATGCTGCACATCATTATTTTCCTACTGAATCTTGCAGGTTTGCAAACAAGCACTCACCCAAAATGGTAAGAAAGAATTGCATCCTGTAAAAGTTTAAATAATTAGAAATGGGAGTTTTGTTGAGGTTTGTATTTTCAGAGAGTTAGGCAGTTTCTCAACACAAAAATAGCATTGTTTCTTCCATTAAGAGATCTGACAAAATGAAAATCATAGAAAAGATCAACATATTATCACCATGATATGCTGATGAAGTAATGCAGTCTGGTTTTGTCAGAGATATTTTAAGTTTATAAACACGGATAATATTTCTGGGCTTTTAAAAATTTTGTGGGTTTTTTTCCCAGAATTGTTCTAAGCATTTATTATGAATGGCACATCAGAGACAAATTCCTACCTGAACTCATATTTGCCAGATAAACACTGCTCTCTATCAGCGAAGAGTATGGTTGTTCATTTTGCAGCAAAACTCCTGCAGCCATTGCAGTACCTGTTGAAACAATAAAATATTCACTGAAAACAGAAGCTCAAAAAATTCAGAATAAAGCCACATGCTCCTGGTTATGGAGTCACTGAAGATTTTGGCAGTCAGGCATGGGCTGGTACTTGACAGACAGATTGTCCACAATCCACGGGCTGTTGCTGCTCTTTTCCTTGCACTCTTGGAGTTTGGAATCACATCTGTGATGATTCTCCTCTAACAGGAAAACTGAATCCAGGACTCTCTCAGGCAGAAACAGATTTTTTTCTCTACTGTTATTTCTAATACAAGGTAGGTCCTGCTCTGAAGACCTTCTGGCATAAAGATAAAGCAAGCTGTAAGTATGAACACAGTAATCAACCACTGTGATGATTAAATAAACCCTTTGCATGGTTCTTGAGTGGAAATTCTTACTCAGTATAAGATCACCCTTCTGTTTCTCTTATCTCTTTAAGAAAATAGCTGCAAGTCTAACAAAAAAGAGCATTTTTTATACCAAACTAAGCACATCTCTGTTGCATCATTAACTATAGAAACTCTGCTAAATAGACAAACCTTAGGTTCCCAAGTCTGTAAAACCAATATTAGCATTCAGCAGCATAAAAAGGTTTTGAAAGACACATTTGCTAAAAAAAAAATTTAAAAATATAAGTCCTGTGGAGATTAAGTGATACAACAGGCCTGTGTGGTGCTGAATGCTTGTTGTTCATCATCCAGCTTTTATCTCTAACCCTGCAAAATTATTTTTGTAGTAAATATTTAAATAAAATTTATTCATTCAAATGTTACACTATCTACCACATACTTGAATAAATTATTCTTCCAACAATGCCACTGGACTTCATTCCACAAAGTCATCCAGTGCAGCTCTGTTCTTTTGAAGATGCTTAATGGTGGGAACAGATCACACATCTCTCTTAACCCTTTCACAGAGCTGCACCAGTCCTCTCACAGGGATGAGAAATACATTTGTCAGTGAAAGACAAAAAGCATCCTGAAACTTCAGAGATGCTCAGCAATGCACCTCTAATGTAAGTACATTAAGAAGAATATGAATTAAGAAAACTCTTAATAAAGATTTAGAGTGCCTGGAGCAGTTTCTACTCAGCTACTTGACTTCTGTATCCTGAAAAGTCAATCCTTTAATAAAGTACCTTCATATAATTGCATTCTATTTGGAGAAGCTCCAAAACCTCTACATTTATTTTTCCATGGATTTTGAAATCAGTAAGTGATGGCTTCCATTATCAGAGGAAACTTTGAACCTAAAGAAACAACTTAATTTTATCCTCAGAATTTCATTTTTGGAATTAATAATACTGAATTAACAAAAATTATTGGTTTCTATTTCTCAGAAAATTCTCTTAAAAATTCTTAATAGCTTGTCCAGACAACATTTGAAAAAGATATAATATTGGCAGCAGAATCACCACCACTATGACTATTTAGTTCTCCTATTTCCTTGCACTCAAGTGATGAAATAAGAGATTAAATAATAGGAATATTTCTATCAACTACAATTCTTTTCCTTTTTGGTTTTTTTGGGGTTTTTTTTTACCCAGGAGTCAGGCTGATAAGAGCCCTTAACTGGAAAGGGATGAGATAGAGGTTCATGCAGAAGACACTATTATATGACAAAATACTAGCAAGATTCTTATAAATGGCAGAGGTGAGCTCTGTGTTTCTTTATTGTCTAAACGATTTTATTTCATTTACACACCAAATTTATAATTCCTGTGCTGCCCAACTGACTTGAGTATTTTGTCTCTGCCTTCCAGTTTGCTAAATTTGACTGACAAGCTGTTTTAAATTGCTCAGTGTGATCAATGGGAACAATTCTCTTATATTTACTTTTGAAAAAGTTAGTAATATTGTGACAAATGGCTTTACATTACACTCAGACAGATGCACGGTGATAATCTGGGACAGGTCAGTGCTGATGTTCCTACAGAGGGGCATTACATTCCTGCACCAATAAAAAGGCTGCTAATAGTAAAAATAGTGCTTAGGTAAAAGCCGCAGCTCTCTCCTGCCTCGCCTCTGTACCAGATATTTTTGGTTTTTAAAGACGTTCTTCAGTGTTTTGCTCATCCCCTGAACGCTCGGTAGCTGCGGAAGACACAGCCTGGAGCGCTATCCTAGGTCACGGCTGCCCGAGGATCCGAGTCACATCCCTTGGGGCAATCACGATATCGCCTTAATCAGCTCTGCTGCCTTATCTGTGCCGTGCATTCCTACTGCCGTGACAGCAACGAGCCGCCCCTTAATCCGGGCTCCCTGAGCCAGTGGCAGGAACGGTGTCTCCCTGCGGTGCAGTCCCACCTCCGTTCCAGCACGGAGCTCCAGCCAGCGAGTGGGAACACCCCGGTCCTGACACCAAACACCGGGAAATGTGCCTGTGCTGTCGGTGGACAGAAGGGAAGAGCAGGACCACACTGCCCAAGGAATCTCTCGGAATCCTCATGCCGAGCGCTTGGGGTATTTCAGGAGGTCCCCTCCAGGTGTGGGTTTGATACATGCTTTGACGTCTGTATGCAGTTTTGAGTTGCCTTTTCTTTCCCCCCCGACTTTCGAGCCGAACAATTTCTAGCAGAAGGGATTTTTGTCTCCTGTTGTTCTCGATTCACGTGTTGCATTTGGTGACACGACAGCTGCCGAGTCCCACTCGCTGCTCACACGTGCAGGGCTGCCTTTCCTGCGGGGGAAGCGGGGTGAGCACCTCGTGCCACCGCGGGTGAGGTCGCTCCGGGCATCCTCCTTCTCCTCAGCAGCGAAGCCCCTTGCCCAGGGCCATTTCCTCTGGAACAAAGGTACTGCTCTCTGTAAGGACACCGTGGAGCAGTAGGGTACCACGCAGACAGCAGGACAGCTGGGACCTCGGGGACCCCAAGGTGAAGTTCCATGCTCCTTCCAAAGGCTGCCTTCCACAGGCAGCGTCACTCACTGGCTCTCAGGAGCCCGCTGCAGGATGGGCCCAGCAAACCAGCAGCGGGGTTTGTAAATGAACAACTCTGTCTCGTCACAAAAAACATTCCTTTCTGGTATTTCAGAATCTGGAAAGCAGTGGCTTCCAGTGGCTGGGTTGAATTTTTGCTCCAGACTGCAATGAGAGGAGCGATGTCCATTATTGCAGCAGCCAGAAAACAATTATACAGCCAAAAAGTGAAGAGACAAGATGTTGGTCTCGCTCTATCTTGACAACGAGGATGGTTATTCAATAAATGCAATTGCTACCTTTTACTTCAGAACACGTTTCCAAACGGAGAGAAGAGCTTGCATTCCCAGCTGGAAGGATTCCAGTTAGGGCAGTATAGCTGCCAGCACGGACAGGAATCCCATTGTAAGGCTCCCCACTGCACTCCTGTGCACCTAGCCACAAATAGTGAGGGCCCAAATCTTTAATTCCTGTGGCTTTGGTAAACAAGGATGCCACGGCAGACCACACACTTAAAAAGGTTACCTGTATGTATTAACATGAAAAAATTTTGCTAAGTTTTCCATTTTAAAATATCAATATATGGGAAAAAATTATTTTAAACCTCAAATATATTCATACAATAGAGGCAATCCTGATGCTTAGGCCTGTCACATGAAATTCTGAGGTTATTTTTACTGTTTTCTTGTCTTCCAAAGTGAATTTGTTCTCTCTCTATTGTAGTCATGTGTAAGTAACTACCTAGAAGCCAAATTTTGAAAGGAACATAGCTCACTGCAGGTAGGGGTGAGGGTAGCTTAGTACCTAAGCACTTGGCTAACACTTCTAAAATTTCCTGTGGCCTAATTCTGCAAGCACTTGAGAAGCTTTGCTTTTGTGAGCAGTCCCATAGAAGTCAACAGAATGTCTAAATATAAGATCATAGGAGATAAAGTTTCACTGGCAAAATACAAAATCCTGTAAACTGCACTAATGGAGATGTTTCAGGCAGATAACTAAAAATAACTTTGATGATTAAGACTAAGTAAAAATAGGACAGAGTAGTGAGTACTGGGTATATTTAATGAAGTGGTTAAGAGCAACTAAATGATAACTTTGTCTTTCAATTCAGGCTTTGAATCTGATGCTTTAAGATTGGCAAATCATGAGAGTTTCTAGCAAAAAAATCTTCTAAATTGGCTGAGACATGGTTAGTCACTGGTACAGGAAGCACTGGTAAATGAAATTGTGTTTTAAATTACCACAGACTATCTAATTTTAGCGTTGCCAGGAATAACAAAGCATTTCTAAAGGTTTGTAAAAATGATGATAACTGGGGGGTTTTGCTAAACTTCATTATTTTGATTAATGAAACAAGATGCAAAGGTTCTTGCTCCAATGCATGTACCAGTGAAAAAGCTCACTGGGAACAGGTATTTCATGAATGCTTAAGCTACAATTTAACCATGGTCTGGAAGGCAGTTTTAGCACTGAGAACACATCTCTCAGTAGGCACACACCTCAATTCCCAAGGTGCTTTAAAAGGCTCAATTATTTGAAATTTGAAATGTTTACTACCTGTAAGAAAACACCAAAATATTGGAAAAGCAAATGAACACACGGATAAAGGACAGAGAGAAGACTAGGTAAAAATGTAAACAAATTTTCATATAGTTTAGTTATGCAGTATTTACACAGCAGAATGATACTACAGCTGCTGTGAAGCTCCAGAGGTTTCACTGGAACCACAACCAGAATGGATTTGTTATTTCTACACGCCTTTTACCCTCTTTGGAAAAAAAATATTCCCCATCTGTCTTAGTAAAAGGTGAATGTCATTTAATCATCAAGTTTGATATTTACAAAGGACTCTAACTGCTTTTGTGTACAAAGAGACAAGAGAATATAATTCATTAAAAGATTATGTAGGTGCTGGTGATTCAGTGTTTGCTATTCATACATTTTTGACATAAATAGCAAGAAACTGCAAGCTAAACTGATGGACAAGTCTCTGAATTGACTTGAGCCATGTTATTTAAATAACTCTTTCTGTGGCAGTGCTAACCTAAGAGTTAACACAAGGTATTTTAAATTACCTTGAACAGTCTGGCAGGCAGTAATTACTAGAGAGACTCATCAAGGAGATGGCGTAAAGTGAATATTAACTTTTCTACAAACAAAAATGGTGGCTCTGAGACCCTTGATCATCAACGTCATGTTTACCAAGAGACTCTCAGATTCGTCACACTGACTACACGCAGAATGAAACACTGTAATTGTCACCCTTCTGACAGCACTCAGAACTGCAAGTCCAAAGATTATCTCTGCAAATTAGAGGAATCCTGTTTAAATCTAATACAGTCAAAACCATAGTAAATTCACATGAATTTTAATAGTTTTATGTAACACCTTACCTGTTACCCTGCAAAAAGAATGAGTGATTGCTGATCCCTTCATTGCTGCAGTATCAGCCACAAGAAACACGCTGCAGGGGAGTCACGTTTTACAGAGAATCTGAATGAATTCCCCTGGTGTTTCCTGTGGCTAATCGGATCGGGGATGGTAATCTGGGAGGAGCCAGCAACCATCTTTTCTTAACCTAAACTGTGCAAGGAGTGCCCCGGAGACTATGCAGATAATCATCCCTAAACTGCTTTCTGCGTCTGCCTGGCCTTTAAAGGGATTGAGGCAAACAGGCCGCACCAGCCTGATGTTCTAATAACTCCGCTCTTCCTGTTCACCTCATTTCCTATCAGCAACAAGTAAATAGGTATTTATTTGTGTGTGTCTACATGCATCACACAAATAAACACAGAGCTACAGAGAGAATTTTGTAAAGTGAGATTAATTACAGTTAAACTGACACATTGACTTTGAAATGCCAGGAAAAAAGAATTATATAGAAATGTTCCATTGTTATCTGGGTTTATGATTGTTATCTGCACAAAACATTTTTTTCTTACCCAATAAAAACACAGAATGTCACTTAAGTATTTTTAGAGAGTATAAATCAACTGCATTAAAAGTAATACCTCAAAACCATAAAAAAATAAGTTTATATAATCAACTGTAATCAACTAAAATCCAAAGATTTTGTTGATTTAACTAAATACTAGATAAATAAAAAATGTAAATAAAATAGGATACAATACCTTGTTCTATCTTAAAAATAGATCTTATCTCCAAATCAATATCAAAAACTAAATATTAGCTGATGAAAATAAATGGGCTTTCATCTATTCCCATCACTTCCTTGCATGTCTTCCTAAAAAATCCCTACTATTAATAAAGCTAGGGATTAATTTAAAATACCTCCCAATTATTTAGAAACAAAGTAACCTTAAAATTAAAATCCAACCCAAACCATTCTGTGATTCTAAGTTTGTGGGGGAAAAAAAAAGAAAAATAAATAAAATGGGACTTCAAAAGATCTGTACAGAATTTGGGGAAAGCCACTAAGGTACCTTGGCTACTTAAAAAACTGAATAGATTGTGGAGCCTAAACCCCTCTTCTGCACACCTTTCTTTATTGTGTTGGTAGAAGTTTCAACCCCAAAGGAGTCAAGCAGCCACAGCTTCCCCAGCCTGACTGCAGCTGCAACTGGGGGATCCAGAACCTCCAAAAATGGATCCATGTGGATTCCCTGGGTGCCAAGAGCTGGTGTCCAGGGCCAGGGGGGCAGGCACACTGACACACACACACACACACTTGGGCACTGGTGAGAGTCAGCAGAACAGTGCTGACTTCATGGGAATGACAGACCCTCAACAGGAATCTCTATTGGAAATGTGGGGTAGAAAGAATCGGAGGTCAGCTAGAATGAAATCTATATTGTACAGTGAAACAAATCTGCTCTCTGCATTTTGTCTGTGGTTTGAGGATTGCCCTTGGTTACTGTCATGGGGTAGCTTTACCTGTCTGGATCAATTCACGCAACAGAAACAGCCCCACAGCAGCACTCCTTGGTTTCACATTGTTCACTCACTACAGAAGTGGCCCTAGAAATCTGAGTCTGTGATTTATGAGTAAAGGGACACATGTATTTTCCAAGTGTCAGCTCACAAAAATGTGTTAACAAATGGAGCATCTGGTAAAACATTTTGTAGGAGGAACTGGAGGAAGCTGGCATCATTTTAGTTGACTAAAGAACAAAGAGCAGCTTCAGATAACTAATAAATATTAATTAAATTCTTAATATAAGCATACTCTTTGGGGGAAGTTCTGAATGTTCACATCTGAGAAGCTGTCACTGACATAGACCTAAGTTTTATTTCCACGGGGGTAATGTAACACTATTTACCCATCTGATTCCAGAGTGGGGTTAATCCTTGGAGGGCTTGGATTCCTGGTGCAACAGCCTCTGCTTTGCTGTATCCTCTTGTAGGTGTCAGAGCTTTGCTGGCTGCCCTTTCATCTGTTCCTATATTTGTACTCCTCAGTATTAATGACACTTTGTTCAGCTGAGGAACTCATTTTTTTCTAGTGCTCTGCAGAGTTTGGCTAATCCAGGCATCAGTGCCAAAAATGTTTCTTCAAACAGGCCGTGTCACTGTATTTGGATCAAGACAAGGCTGTGTGCTAACTGAGGGTGACTTTTTGGGAGAATTAACCAACAGGCTGAAATAATTTGCCATTTCCAAGGAAAGAATACACAGAATAAGTGTTGTGTAATGACTGAACTAGCAATCTTCATGCCTCTAGGCTTGGCATTTTCCTGTTTCAACAAAATGAAGAATCCCAAGTCCTCTGGAAAATTCTGCTGAACTATGATTGCCGTTTAAAGATCCTAACAAGCTTTTTAGGAAAGTAGAACAGGATCATTGGGTTTCTGGCAGCTTATTTCTCTTGCACTGCAGGAGCTGCCCCATGGCTACTTCACAGAAGACGTAGAAAATCCACCTGTCCCATACTCTTAGGTACAGGTTTATCAGATTAGGCAGGTAGAAAAGTGTCTAAATTGCCTCATTTGAATGTCTGACCACTGCCTACACTGCAGTGTTTTCAGTGGTGCATAGAATCAAAACATCACATTATCCTAAAACGTACAGATGACTAAAACCTAAGATTCACTTTCATTTAATACAAACTGTGTGTTGAGATTCCTAGCTGGCTTTGGGCATTTCCAGCTTCTCCTTTTTCTTTTTGCTCTCCTCATAGTTTGGATCATAAAAATCAATTAATGTTGCTCCCTTTTCAGCCTGTATTGAAACACTGCAGGGGAGGCTTTAGCTTTGTGCAACTTTACAAATATATACATGTTATTAAAGACTTTCTGTAAGTTCTGCTTTTAGATAGTTTACATATATATATATATATATTTATATATACAGATATCATTTTTTTTCTGTCCATTAAGCATAATGCTGTACCACCACAGATCAATCACAAAAACCTTTGGCAGGCCTCAACTTTACCAGCAATGTTACAGTTGTGAGAGAAATGTACACATTTAGCTGCTTAATGAGATCCCACAGCAGCAGCCCACCTGTGATCCCTGTCCTCTTTCATCTCTACTTCTGACAGTCTCTCTTTTCCCGTTGGTTCCACTGTTACCTAAAATTGCCAGTAAAGGACAAAATGTAGTAAAATGTTAGGTAAAAGCAGCAGAGTAATATGAAAATTCAAATTCAAAAGACAGTTGCAAAACTGAAGAATTGTATCAGGTGTTATTCACAGGTCATTCAATGGACTTACAATGTAAAAGGTGACTAAACACCTAGGAAAATAATGTAGAAGCACTTAAACTAGATCTTGCTATAAAAAGGAAAGCTCTGATTTATGAGACATGTCAGATTTCCCAGTTCCTAGACAACTCCTCTCACTTATAATTTTACTGCTATTACACAAAATAAAATAGTCATAATGGTATAACTGGATTTACAGTGAAGTGTTTACTCAAACGTGTGGAAGAAACACTTTTCAGGTTGGTTTATGTGTCCAGCCAAGCAAGTACATCACAAGGGAGGATTAAAATGCTAATTATATCTGAGGTGATACTCTCACAGCAGCTGGCCCTGCAGACTGTCTCTCTCTCACTTCATCTTGCCATAGACGAGCAGGTACTCTCTATGCATGAACTAGTGATGGAAACAAGAGATGGAAAAATCACAGAATCCCAGAATGGTTTTGATTGGAGGGGCTTTAAAGCCCATCCAGTGCCACCCCTGCCACGGCAGGGACGCCATCCACTGTCCCAGGTTGCTCCAACCTGGCCTTGGGACACTTCCAGGGATCCAGGGGCAGTCACCACCTGAATCACAACCTGAAAATGCTTTCAAGCAATACAGAAGTGCAAACACATTTATTTTGTACACATTATTTTGGGATTAATTCCTCCACAGATGTGGAGCTTGGTGTTGCTCAGTGGGATGAAGGACTCCCAAAAACATGTCTCTGAGAAAAGCAAAAGTAAGGGATCTGTGCAAAGAGAAAACACTGAAGTGTAGATTATCAATATATCAGGTAACCATTAATCTTTTTGTTATTCCACTTAAGAGTGTAGTGACAGTCTGTAACCAAAAGCAGTAATAGCTACATCTGAAAGTTACTGTTGAGTGTGAGGACTGACCCATGCATTGAGGTCCCGCAAGCAGGAACTCGCTGAGCTGCGTTTTTCAGGGTGATTGAGTGATGATTAGAGGTGGGGTACAACCACTACAAAACATGCAGACACTGCTGAGAAGTGGAACTACCCTGCTGTCATTCATGGTCCTCTCTCTTCCTGACAGCTGTGGGCCTTTGTGAAAGTAAATCTACACAGATCATTTATTATTCTGAATGCATTTTGAGGCTGTGATTCAGGGGGTGGCAGTCCCATCCCTGGAAGTATTCAAGGCCAGGTTGAACGGGGTTTGGAGCACTCTGGGACAGTGGAACGTGTTCCTGCCCACGGCAGCGGGTGGCACGGGATGCACTGTAACCCCAGAGCAGCCTGGGCTGCTGTGATTCGCCTCTGTGACTATTCAGCAACGGGTGGCAGAGGGGCTGTGTCACCGCATATCCCCCGGGGGACCATAGACCGTTCTCGGTCACAGCCGGTGCCGAGCACGGCCCGGGAGCGACAGGAGGAGCCCGAGAGCCGTGCGGGGCCGCGGCGGGGTCTCTGCAGGGATGAATCCTTAACGGAGGGGCCGGGCCGNGGGAAATAGCGGGGTCGGGAATATCGGGGTCGGGAACAGCAGGATGGGGGAACAGCGGGATCGGGAAAGGGAAACGGTGGCGTCGGGATCGGGAGAAAGCGGGCCCGGGAAAGGCGGGGCGCGGGGAGTGCGCATGCGGGAGCGGGGAAGGCAGGAGAGGGGAAGGCAGGAGAGGGGAAGGCAGGAGAGGGGAAGGCAGGAGAGGGGAAGGCAGGAGAGGGATGGGAGCGGATGCGGGAAAGGCGGGATCGGGGAAAGAGAGCAGCAGCTGCTGAGGGTCTGGGGCAGGGGTGTGTTTGGGTGCTTGGGCCTGTCTGTGAATATTTTCACGCCGTTTCACTGACACGGTTTAATGTTTAATCGTGGGGCATTGGGTTTTAGTGGTTAAAGGTAGGGAATTTAATTGAAAATGTGCAAATGACCGTGTTTTCCATGGTCTGGAATGGTGCCTACAGGTGGAAGTGTGGTTGCACTGACACCCCGAAGCTTTCGGCTTCGTCCCCCTGCACCATCCATCTGCTACATCTCAGCAGGGATTTTATCGAGGAGCTGCCACACAGGCGTCGGTCAGGGCTTTGGGAGGCTTAGCTGAAGTTTTTTGATAGGCATGAAAGTCATTTAGGTCTTGGACACAGAGCAGAATAGGTTTGTAATGGTTTATTTTAATACTGGACTCGAATATACAGTCGCTGATTAAAGGAGGAGCAAGAGCCATAAAGCTCTGCACACATCAGTGAGCTGGGCTGGAACATCTGTCCAAGGGTCAGAAGGGTGTTCTTGGAGTGAGTGCCTGCTAACACGCTTGGGAAGTCTAAGTTGTGGTTTTCAAGGTACTTGCGGAATTTTGGCAGTGTTCTTTGCCTGTCTCATAAGCCACATTAGTACATTAGCACCTAGAATTAGCCTCCCTAGTATATCAATTACTTAAACACCAGCAGGGTTTACATACTTTTAATTTACAGTTTTTTAAAGGTAAAGACAGGTTTGGGAACATAGTGGAAATGCTGAAAAAATTCTGTCACTCCTTTTTGCTAAGCTGAAGGAGGTGTCAGCATAGGATACACAGGGCTTTTTTTCTTAAAATGTCCCATTAGTACCAAAGTGTCTTAAATATATCTTGATTTTTGGCAGCATAACATATTCCTACAATAATATTGATATATAAACTAAAAAAAAAAAAAAAGTTGTGTGACCCTTCTGTCTTCCTCTAAAAGATTTGAATAGGGTTTCCCGGTGTTTGCCTATGAGAAAATGTTATTAAAATTCACGAGTTTCATTTTTTAAATGAGCTTCAGGGTACACATTAAGTGTTTGGTCCCACAGAGTGAGGTTTGTGCCTTTGCCATCAATTATGTTTCTCATGTGTTTAGGGTTTGGCTGGCTTGGGGTTGGAAGGCTGAGCATGGTGATCAGGCCATGTGATCTGTTCCCAAAATTCGTGTTTATCGTTACATAATTACATGAATAAACAATCTTTTGCATGCTTCACAAAGAATTTGTAAAATTCATAGAAAAAAAGCACAAAGCTTGCTTTGTTTTGTTGCAAAGATGCAACCACAAAGGCATGAAAATAAATGCTGGTTTTGCTCTTTTTTGTCTGAAATGAGGAAAAAGTTGAGGTTTTCAGCGTTGTTGGGCTTGTGGTGCAGCTGCACTAACACTTGTGCCAGTGCAGTGCTGCAGAGGGGGCAAGGCTGCTTCTGTCACAAGCTGAGCAGGGACGACCCCTCAGGACTGTGGCACAGAGAAATCCATGCTCCAGGAATGCTCAGAAATGTATTTGGAATTATATGGGGTTTTTAATTCAGAACCAGAATCAGAACCAGCAGAAAACTCAGTGAAGGCTGACCATGAGGTGCAGGCTCCCAGGTACAGCCAGGAAAAGGAGCTTGGTGAGAAAAACTCCAGGGGTGAAAAGGGAAAAGGGGGATTTCTTGCTTCCCCAGAAGTGTGATTTGGGGTCGGGTGATGATCCTGGGAGCACGATGAGACTCTCTAATGCTGCAGGGCCGAGTTGGAGCCTGACACTGAAGGAACAGCTCCAGAAAATCTGAGCCTTCTGCCCCAGGTCTGCCCAGACCTTTCCTGGCTGGAGCTCATTTCACATCAACCCGTGCCACCGTGTGGCAGAGGAACACGGTGCACTGCTCCTCTCTCAGCTCCAAAACACTTTGTGGAAGATTCTGCCCTCTTTCTGTGTTCCTGGGATTGCTGGGGGTAGAGGGGCAGGGTGGGAATGCGATGTTCCTGAGCTTCGTCTCAGCAGCTCCTTGGGAATCCCACGGGTTCTGCACTGTGGTGTTATTCCAGCACAAAGTGTGCTTTGGAGCCAGGCTTTCTGAGCATTTCCCGATCCCAGCTAAGCAGGTTACTGAAGAATGGGAATAATCCATAAAGTGGGGTATAAAACTTCTCATCTTCTGCCTTCATTTTTCCATCCAGATTGCTCAGGATTTTTTCTTCCCTTGCACAAGCACCAGATTTTGCATCTTTCCAGTGCTTTAAGGGAGAGAGGGATTTTTTATCTGGACAGATAGTGACAGGATAGGGGATAATGACTTTAAACTGTCAGAGGCAGGTTTAGGCCAGATAAAAAGAAGAAATTCTGCCTTGTGAGGGTGGGGATGCCCTGGCACAGGTGCCCAGAGAAGCTGTGGCTGCCCCTGGATCCCTGGAAGTGTCCAAGGTTAGGTTAGACAGGGCTTGGAGCAGCCTGGGACAGTGGGAGGTGTCTCTGGCCATGGCAGGGGTGGAACTACACGAGCTTTAAATGTCCCTTCCAACCCAAATCATTCTGTGATTCCATGATTCTGTGATTGGAACACTTTATTCCACTTTTTGCTTCTGGCCACCCCACTGGCTCCCAGAGGATAACAGTATTCTTTTCCAGCATAAACATCTCCTTACAGAGATGATTCAGGTTTTCTCTGGGAGCCTTTCATTTGCAGTGTTTATGTAGGCACATTGTGCATTGTACAATATCTCTTGTTTGCCATGAACATCAGCATGATGGGAAGGCAACAAAAGACTCTGAGGGATAATCAGCAGATGTAAGGAAACAATGCCAGCAGCAGGAGAAAAATAACTGGAGAGGCTGCTCCTGGGGCTGGACATGTCCTCAGCTGGATGTGGAAATGCTGTTGGGAGCGTGGAGAGGATCCCAAGTGAAGGCAGGTTTGTGTGCAGATCCACAGGCAGGAGCTGGTGGATCTTCTGGATGCTGAATAACCTGCTGGAACTCTCACCTTTCGTGGGAACAATGAACTATCCCTACTGCCACAGGTTTTCTGAGGGATTTAGCCTGGGCAGGATGTTGGTGACAGCTCCTGTCCTTTGTCACACAGCAGTGTGTGATCTGTGATAGAGCCCACTGGCTGTGGTGTCAGAGCAGGACAGGTTCAGCAGGTGCAATCCTGCTTTCTGTAGTGGCCATCTCATATCCTTTCATTTGGCTTTCTGTGGATTTGGTTATTATTTCCCCTAAAAATATGCAAGTGTGTGTCTGCCAAGTTACAGTCTTCTCCTGATTCTACAGAATTTTCTTGTTCTTGCTACTTTTTTTTTTTTTCTTGGCCTTTTTGATGGGCCTTTGTATTGAATTTCCTTTTACTCACCTTTTTGGTCTTTATATGATTCACAGTTGTTAACTTTAAGACCTTAAAGCTCTGCTTTGGTCCTTACAGCTCTGACAGTTTACTAAGTCAAGTGAGAAGTTGTTCAAAGCCAGTTTGTTCTCGCAAAAGGGTAGATGTTTCTGTAGTTTCCCTTCCCCACACTTCTCATTATAGCAATTCTTATAATTATGAGCTAATAACCACCCCATGTTTTACAACAGCCCAGTTAAAGTAATGGGAAAAGGGCTGTGTGTTTTCAGCTTCACGTGGCTGTACTTCCAAATAATGATGAAGAACTTTGATGAAGAAATTTGGAAGTCTTTGACTAGCAGCTTTGACTAGGGTGAATTCTTTCTCAAATGAGGGAATTCAGGAATTTTGAGACCCTCTTCTCCCCCCTGTGCATGGTGTGTGTTCTCCTTGCAGAAGGATGTTAACACACCAATGTGGCAGGAGAGGAAGGTGTAACCTACTGTCGTTTATTTCAGGAATCTGCTTTCATCCTTCACCTGGGTGTAACTGTTTGGCTCTCGAAAATGAATACTTCAATACTCTGCACTTACAAAGCCTACGATGGTTGAAGGCATGTATTGCAAAAGTGGAGTGTCCAGATTTTAAAACAGATTTGTTTTGGCTGTGGGCTTGTCTACCATCCATGGAGATCTGTGCTAGTGAAAACAGATGTGGAAGCTGTCTGTGCAGAGGGTGAACTGAGGAGCCTATGCAGTCATGCTGGAACAACGTGGACGCTTGGTTCCCTGGGGACATGAGCAGCACAACGTGAAGGACCCGCTTAGTCACAACCAACTGTTCTGGAAGTGACTTTTCTGACTCCACAGAGTCATTTGGTTTTTAATAAAAAAATACAGTGCTTTAAAATTGTAATTACACTTGAGGAAACTGCATTTGATTCAGGGATATTATGGAAGCAATAAAGAGATTTAAAAGAAATCAGCAGTTTTCTGGCAATTATTTGCTCAGCTCAACTATTAATATTGGTTTGTTTGCCAGAACATGATCAAAAACATTTGGCAGGCAAGACTTGGTCAGGAAAGTGAGCCAGTAAAATTGAGCTGTCATCTAAGTACATACAGAAAAACTGTTCACTTGGCATGAAAAACAGACTGTTTACAGAAATAATAAACATGCCCTCGAAAATTATGTTCCTTCTCTCTAAAATCACGGAAGGTCACGAGACTTTGACCTTACAGAAGGAGCATAACACTTTATGAGACTCCTGTCAAAGCACATGATAAAAAATAAATACACTGCAATAAAGAAGTGTCAGGCTGATGGCTCAAATGTGCCTTCCTGCTGTATCCTGTCTCCTTCCCGCAGGATGTGGGGTGGCTGCTGCCAGGCCACGGCAGCCCAGCTGGAGGGGAGGGCACAAACACCTTCTCCTGCCATACCACTCCATGTATTAGTTAATCCACTAATTAGCTTGTGTTTCATCTCCCAAGTAAACCTTGCAAACAATGAAACTTGTCAGAGTGAAATAGATGTTACTGAAAAGCGTAATTTGCAAAAGCCCTTCTGGTGGTTCAGCTGCTGGATAGAGCCCCAGATGCTGGGTGTCCATGAGGAACACGCTGATTTGGCTGTGGCTTGGTGGTTTCTCCGAGCCCTGAGGATGGAGGAGTGAACTCTAGGGAAGGATGGTGATAGCTGGAGGAGGTGTTCAGCCCCTGGCCAGCTCCCCCAAGGGCAGTGGTCTCACCTGTTTGCTCCTCAGGACTTGCAGGTTCACTCTTTATGTGGATTCCTCCTCCTGCCCCCGTAAAGCTGTTGGCTTAAATGCTCCAGTGTGAACTCTGGGCCTGGGTGGGAGACACACCACTCTTCCTTGCACCCCAGGGAACCAGGGTTATCTAGTGGAAGAAAAGGAGGCTCAGAGGGGCCTCTCACTTTCTGTAGCTGCCTGAAAGAAGGTTGTGCTCAGGTGGGTGTCAGCCTCTTCTCCCAGGGAGCAAGCGTCAGGACAAGGCACAGTGCCCTCAGGGGAGGTTTAGATTGGGTATTACAAAATGTTTCTCCACTGAAGGGGGGGTCAGGCTTTGGAACAAGCTGTTCAGGGCAATGGTGGTGGAAGTGTTGAACAAAATGTGTAGGTGTGGCACTTGGGGGTGTGGTTTAGTGGGTGAACCATCGGTCTCAATGATCTTTTTCCAACCTTAATGGTTCTGTGACTCTTCCCTCCCCAAATTCCTTGCACAGCATTACCTTCATACTCCTCCCGCTGCCTCTGCTGCAGCTGGCTCCCACTCTGCAGTGCCACAGGGGCACAGCCAAGGGGCTTTGCAGCTCAGCTGAGGAGGGGCTGTGCTCATCTGTGGCAGGGGCAGGAGCAGTGTGGGCTGCAGAGCCAGGGAAGCACCAACCCAGGGCTGCCTGGAGCTTCACACTGCCCACAGAGACATTGGTGTGTCACTGAGCAAGATTAAAAAAAAGAAAGTCAAAAAGCTTCAGCTCCCTTTTTGAGGGCAGTTCAGACTTACAGTCATCACTGCTGTGCTTCCTGGAGATTTTGTGGACTGACATGATGTCATACAGCCATTCTCCCTTCTTCCAGCATCCCTGGAGTTCACAGGGAGAAAAAGAGTTTCCCCACTGCCTCCCTCAGTTGCCAGGGTCCTCCTCTCACACACAGCACGAATCTAGCCAGATGAGCTGTGTTTTGGAAGTCCCCCAGTAGAGCTTGTACATGTGCAGAACATAAAAGATACTTAAATTTATAAAGCCTGAGCTCTCTGCGTGCTGAGGGTGAGTGTGCAAGTATTTGGCTTTGGTCTGCCCCAGCCACACAAAACAGTTTAATCCAGAAAAAACAATCTAAAAAAACTTCATTTGCTGGCAGTTTAGATTCTGTTTACTTATAACTCACAACCTCGAAACATAAGAATTAAGCTTAATTGTTCATAAATTATACAGCACACAGCACATACTGTTGTAATCTGTGCTGCACATATCTATATTGAAGTATTAACACCAATGTTTAAACAAAATACAAAGTCACCACAGGCAGCCTTAAACCTCAGCTGTACAGTTTCGCTGAACTATTTTGGCTATAGACATGATTTTTCACCCCTCTACCCTCATATGGTATTAATTCAATTGTTTTAGATGTTACACATGCGTAAGAACTAGAAGGGATTTCCTCGAACAACAAACACCGAGGATAAAAAGGTCGATGTTTATAAAAATGTCAAACTCCAAGGCTCTTCCATGAGTTGTTAGAGGATTGCTCTCAGTGAAGACTCGGCCAGTCATTCAAGAATCCTCCAGTGAGGGAAGCTAATCCTGAGTTTCCACTCCTAAGTCAGTGGTTAGGTCCCTCAACAGAGCACCAGCAGCAGAAGTGCTGAAGGGAGAGCAGGGAAATTGGACGTGGTTTAAAAGATCCCAAAAAATTCTTGATCACTCTGGTGTTGTGTTTGTGCTTAGCAGCTCCCTGGAAGCAGTTCCCACACCGTGCCATTGGTGTTTCTGCAATGGTCTGTGGCTGCCAGGGGCTGAAAGGGACCTCCCTGTCACAGCTGAGCTGCTGCTCTTCCACAGCAGGGCGGGGCAGACACGAAATCTTTAAAAGATACTTCCTTAACTTCATTAAAAGAGGTTTTTCTACGTCTGTGCTCTTTATTTGCAGCTCTAAGCATGTTCTGGAAGGCAATGCTCTGTCACAGGTTGATGTGGGAGAGCTTGTGGGGTCACTGGGCCATTCCCTGGGGAGCCTGTTCAGTGCCCCAGCACCTTCTGACACCCAGCTAGCCCTGCCAGCACAGCTCCAGCCACTCTGTCCCTGCTCACAGAGAGCCGAGCCGCTGGCTGTGCGGATGTCTCGGTGCTGCTGGGGACATCCCAAGGCTCCAGTGCCCGCCGCAGCCTCCAGGAGCTCGCTCCAGGAGCTCCAGATGCCTCCTGTGCCGAGGAGCCCAGCGCTGGGCTCAGCGCTGCAGCTGCAGCATCCCCGGGGCTGGGGAGAGAGGCCAGAACTGCTGGCAGTGCTCCCCCTCGATATTCGCTCTTCCTCTCGCCCTCTGCACTCGTGTTCTTCCCGTTCTGCAGGTCCCTACTCTGGATGTCTTCATGGTGAGCCAGGGAATCGCTCTCAGCTTGAATCTCACACGAAAACACGGAATGGGTGCCCACCCATCCCCTCGTCCCGCGGTCCCACCAAGCCCTGGCTGCCGGGGCAAGGCTGCTCTGGGAGCTGGGACCCCCAAAACACACCCTGACCTGGGACACCGGGATCAGAGACCCCCACAGCACACCCTGACCTCGGGACACCGGGAACAGGGACCCCATAACACACCCTGACCTCGGGACACCGGGAACAGGGACCCCACAGCACACCCTGACCTGGGACACCGGGAACAGAGACCCCCATAACACAGCCTGACCTCAGACACCGGGAACAGGGACCCCCACAGCACACCCTGACCTCGGGACACCGGGAACAGGGACCCCAAAACACACCCTGAGCCCGGGACACCGGGAACAGGGACCCCATAACACAGCCTGACCTGGGACACCGGGAACAGGGACCCCCTCGGACCCCGATCTGCGACACTCGGGGGACACCTGGGGACAGCAGCGGCCACCTGCGCTCTGTTCTGCCGCCGCCAGAGGGCGCTGCCGCCGCGGGACACGGGAATGGGGAATGGGGACATGGAAATGGGGATTTGGGACACGGGAATGGGGAATTGGGACATGGAAATGGGGAATTGGGACATGGAAATGGGGATTTGGGACACGGGAATGGGGATTTGGGACATGGAAATGGGGAATTGGGACATGGAAATGGGGATTTGGGACATGGAAATGGGGATTTGGGACATGGGAATGGGGAATTGGGACATGGAAATGGGGATTTGGGACACGGGAATGGGGAATTGGGACACGGGAATGGGGAATTGGGACATGGAAATGGGGATTTGGGACACGGGAATGGGGAATTGGGACACGGGAATGGGGAATTGGGACATGGAAATGGGGATTTGGGACACGGGAATGGGGAATGGGGACATGGAAATGGGGAATGGGGACATAGAAATGGGGATTTGGGACACAGGAATGGGGAATTGGGACATGGGAATGGGGAATGGGGACATGGAAATGGGGATTTGGGACACGGGAATGGGGAATTGGAACACGGGAATGGGGAATTGGGCACGGAAATGGGGATTTGGGACATGGAAATGGGAAATGGGGGCACGGGAATGGGGATTTGGGACATGGAAATGGGGATTTGGGACATGGGAATGGGGAATGGGGACATGGGAATGGGGAATAGAGACATGGAAATGGGGATTTGGGACATGGAAATGGGGATTTGGGACATGGAAATGGGGAATTGGGACATGGAAATGGGGAATGGGGACATGGAAATGGGGATTTGGGACACGGGAATGGGGAATGGGGACATAGAAATGGGGATTTGGGACACGGGAATGGGGAATGGGGACATGGAAATGGAGAATGGGGACATGGAAATGGGGAATGGGGACATGGAAATGGGAATTTGGGACACGGGAATGGGAATTTGGGACACGGGAATGGGGAATTGGGACATGGGAATGGGGAATTTGGGCACGGGAATGGGGATTTGGGACATGGAAATGGGGAATGGGGACACGGGAATGGGGAATTGGAACATGGAAATGGAGAATGGGGACATGGAAATGGGAAATGGGGGCACGGGAATGGGGAATGGGGACATGGAAATGGGGAATGGGGGCACAGGAATGGGGAATTGGGACATGGGAATGGGGAATGGGGAATGGGGACACGGGAATGGGGAATGGGGAATTTGGGCACAGGAATGGGGAATGGGGATATAGAAATGGGGAATGGGGGCACAGGAATGGGGAATTGGGACGTGGAAATGGGGAATGGGGGCACAGGAATGGGGAATTGGGATGTGGAAATGGGGAATGGGGGACACGGGGATG